AAACTATACTAAGACTTGTTAAGTAATATAAATAATCCATTTGTCCATAAATAATCCTCATAGGTAATGAAGAGTTGAGTGGTGCTTGCAGTTAAAACTATATAAGTTCAACATCATTAGACGCCCCCAAGGAAATGTACTCTTATAAACTTAGAGTTTCTCTAGTGTGTATGATGAATGAATTCATGATTCACAATGCTCCAAGACTGCTCTGAAAATGCAGTCTCCTTTGCGTGCTTTTGGCATGACAAAGCTTAGAAACGTTACTGGCTTTCTGAAAAGGCTGAATCACAGAACACTGGATCTTTATTCACACAGCCTGCCAACCATGGCATCTATGTTAGGGTTATCACTTGGTAACAAGATAAATACTCTGACAGAGGTGTTACACTCCCTAGTAAAGAGGGTTTCATGTGCAGACTTTCTCACCATCATGCCTGGCCCAAAGCCATATCTTAAAATAGGTGAGGTTTGCTTTTTGTTGCCCTGGATTTCAGGACCTTCCCTCTCTGTGGCCTAGGTTTGCCTTTACTCAAAGCTCTCTCATCCTTTGACTGATCCTCTTCCCACACCCCGAAACTTCTTCCCTGCAACCCCTCCCCCATCAAAGTTCTTTCCTAGAACCATTAACATGCTATGTTTTATTGCTCATTGTAATAGGAGAGAGATGTTAAAGCTCTAATAAAGATAGTTCTTTTTTAAAAAAAAATTTTTAGAGGTTTTTGCCTTAGGGTATGTATACTTGTGTTGTGGGGGGGTCAGAGACAGTGAGAAAGAAAGTGATAAATCACCCCCAAGGGGGATGGCCACACTGCAATCCCTTCTCCTCTACTCTCCTAGGATTTGAGGCACTCTCACAAATGTGCCCTGCATGATTTTCAAGCCACCAGATCTAGGACTTGAACTGCGTAGTTCACCATGTGGGAGTCCAGCAATGTAACCGCTGTGCTATCAGCTAGCCCCCTGATAAAAGTACTTCAAGAAGTGTATATTGGAGGATGATTTAGCCAAAGAGCCCCTACCCCTTCCTACCACAGAGGTGACAACATCCACCTACATGTGGTCCTGCTTGCAGAAATAGCAACCTCCATTTGTAAAATGAATACTGCCTTCTAACTACTAAAGCCAATTAGTATTAATAACCTCTGGTATAAATTGACGGAGTTACAATACATCTAAGTGAAAGTCATAAAATGAGGCTATTACACAAAAATTTATGTCAAGATAGGACTTCCTGTTTGACCTATAATTGTATCATGTTTTGGATCATTTCAGTGGTCATATTAATGCTGATGTAGAGGTGATGTGTTTTCCTGTTTTCCATCTATTAGGAAATAATGTGAAATGGGTAATTCTGGAAGTAACAATGGCTCCTTGCTCAAAGCAGAGAGGCGAATACAAACGTGCAGAACATGAGGAAATAATTTAGCAAACAGTGAGCACCTAATACAAGCCAAGTGCCTGTTCTAGCCATTGGGGAAAACCACCATTGGGGAAAACTTGTAACCATGAGTTCCTCTAACAGGGGAGATGGGCACAGAGCAGACAACCACACAGGCTGCCTACTCTCAGTTGTATAGATGTTTTATAGAAAAAGTAAAGTGTATTGCTCAAAATTCCCAACTGGAATATTAGAACTTTACTGGTAAAGTTATTTTCTCCTTTTGGGTATTATTTCTCTGTTCATATAAGATTTTCCTTTGCTTCAACCTGATACATTATGGGAGATCAGCTTTTACAGAACTGCTCTGTCCTGTGACTATCGCATGTACTATACAAGGTGATCTGAGAGTTTAAGCCCATTTATTTTATAATGCTAATGAACACTTTGTAGTAGCTGAGCTTGTTCTTCTAGCCACCTTACTAGCTTAGGGGTTCCCTGATGTCAGGGTTCCAGTTAGGCATCTCTACACATTTCTCAGCTTTCCTCCATGGTCGTAAGATGGCTATAGCATCATCTGGAATCACATCTCCCACAACCGTGCTCAAAGTAGGAGGGAAAATTTGGAAATACAGAGGTTCTCCTTCATGCTTACCCAAACATTTCTCAGTAGATTGTTCATAATTCATTGACCAAGAAAGGATGACAGAAAGAGATTGCTTTCAGGTGAGCAATCAATAGTACTCTAGGCAGAGTATTATGTGGAAAATAAAAGTTAGAGAGGTTGAAAAATATGTGCAACATTATAAACTAGTAAGTGATTAAAAGAGGATACCAATCAGACCTTTTTTAGATGCTTAGACTTTCCATCCTTGGTTACCATATTAGAAGGCCTTTCTTGAGTTTTGTCATACTCAGTTTATCAGAAAATATTTAGTAAGAATACCCTTGGTACTAAGCACTGTTATTGTTGCTGAAAGGGAACAAAATTCGCAACTAGTTAAAGATAGAAGCATAACATAATGAATCAGTGAAGCTACATAACATTATTGTATTGGATGTTTCTTTCTAAGAAGTACAGTTTCTCTGCAGGAATTCTATGAAGATTCTAAGAGCCAGAGTGGACTTCATAGATGCTACAGAGTGTAAGCAAAACCGAACAGATGTGGATCAGTGGGAAACATAAGAAGGACATTTCTCTTGAGAAGAATAATTTGCTATATAGTGGGAAACAGAAAAGCCTGCACATGAGTGAAGCAAAGAGTGGCTGAAATTCTAGGTATGTTCGATATCTGCAGCAAATTGTTGAGCTGCCATTTTGTGGTTAAAGGACAGTTGAGCAGGTTGGTTATATAGGCATTGACAGGGGTGGGTGTCCGGGAGACTGAGGCTGAAAGGGAGAAATACTGGACCGTAAAGCAGTAGCATCCCCTAAGCATTCACTGGAAAAGACGACTGAGGACCAAGAGCTGAAAGGGGTCAGTTGCTGCCTAAATGTTTCCCTTGGCCTAATGAAGCAATTTACGATTTAAACGATTATTGCTGAAGGTTATTTTCTAGCTCTTTTTCTTTTTATGTGGCCTAAGATATTCCAGTAATTAAAAAAAAGAAACTAATTAATTTGGTTTTTGACTGTGAGCACAGATTCTGAAGAACACACCTATCCCTCTGTTTCTCTACTAATAACGAGGAGTTTGAGTTAAGCCATTCTACTCCTTTGTGAACAGACTGATGTTGGTGAGATGAGGTAGGGACAAAGTTATGCTGGGGACCACAGCCAAACTAGAAGCTCATGCAGGGCTCTGACCCACTGTATTGGCATTGTTGATTGTAAACCTAGCTTTCTAGGCAAAATAACTGAGATGAAACACAATGCCTGGACTCCTCATCTTCATCCCACTGGGTATTTCCTAGCCATAAAAGGAGAAGAGAAACTATCTTTACAATGTCTTGCAAAGACTTGCAGTGATCATATGAACATTCTTTTGGTTTTTTTGGAGAGGTTTTTACTATAGGGCGCATGCCTCACCAGAAAGATATATATAGAGACAGAAAGCAAGAAATCATCCTTCAGAGGGGATGGCCACGCTGCAATCCCTTCACCTCCATTCTCCTCTCGGGATCTTAGGCACACACATACACACACACACACACACACACACACACACACACGTGCCCGGTGTGAGTTTAAGCCACCAGGCCTAGGACTTGAACCGCAGTTGACTACATGGGAGTCCAGAGTCATAGCTGTTACACCAATTGCTGGTCTCATGATATGAACGTTCTAAAATTTATAATTATATTTCACTTTACATAACGCTTATCTATTTTTATTCCCCAAATCCTTGATTATATTTTGAAATCTAATGACTTTTCTCAATTGGATTTTAAAGATTACAATTTTCAATCAGCACATATGGAATTATAAATTAATATAAAATAAACAATGGCTTGCCACTATTTAATACAGGAGAAAATCTGTATTCTAATCAAGGGCAAATGAAAAGTCCCTTGATGACAGGTTAGAATTCTTTGGATATGATGTGTGATAGATTAGGGTGGAACTCAGAATTATTTAGGAAATCATAGTTTGAAAAAAATGTAAGATAGTTTAAAATAGAGAATTTCTTTCTTTCTTCTTCTTTTTTTCTTTTGTTTTATTTAAGTTTCTAGAGGGTTCGTGCCCTCTCCACACAGGTTGGGATGGGAGGGAATGGAAAAGTACTCTCTCTGCAGCATGGTCACACTGCAATTCCATCTCTCCCTCCTTTCAGGATTTTGACATGCACACACATGTGCCTGGTGTGTTTCTCAAGCCACCCTGTCTGGAGTTGAACCACACAATTGCCATGTGGGATCCAGCAGATCCACTCACCTTAACCACCAAGGCTCAGGCTGCACCCAAATAGAGAATTCTTTTTTTTTTTTGGGGGGGGGGGAGAGGTTTTCGCTATAGGGCGCGTGCGCTCGCCAGACAGACAGAGAGAGACAGAGAGAGACAGAAAGCGAAAAATCATCCCACAGGGGGGATGGTCACGCCGCAATCCCTTCTCCTCATTCTCCTCTCGGGATCTTGGGCACGCACGCACACGCGCCAGGCGTGAGTTCTAAGCCACCAGGTCTGGGATGCGAACCGCGGTCGACTGCATGGGAGTCCAGCGACATAGCCATTACGCTAACTGCTGGTCCCCCAAATAAAGAATTCTTAAGAAGGAAAAAATAATGTTTTACTCTTCTGTCTTATGTCCAAAGAGTCACTTGATGTTGCCCAGGCTCAAAAGAAAGAATCCCATTGTCTTTATGTAGCAGAAGCAGCCTGCAGGGAGTGGCTGTTTAAAGGTAGAAGTTCCTTAGAATTAAATGCTACCTTTAAACATAGGGATAGAGGAGGAAGACTAGTAACTGGGGCTGGCAGGCTCTGCCTCATTTTGACAGGCGTGTGCAGATATTGCCACATTCTTAGTTTCTGAGTAGACGTCACCCTCCAAACAAATTTCTTAAACTGTGCCTTTACAAACAAGCATTTCTATTTTAGTCATGTCTTTCTGAGTAAAACGTTGAATCACTCAAAGGATGCAGATTAAAAAGAGAGAGAGAAAAAAAAGCTGTGTGGGAGGGGCAGAACTTTATAAAGCTAGTCGTTGCTGTGTGTGAATGGCAGCATCTCTCAGAGGAGCCTTCCTTCAGAGAGCAACTCAGAGAACAAGGTAATTATTTCAGTGATTTCATGGTCATCTCAACAGGAAAAATGATTTCAGTCTTTCTCTTCCTTTATACTGGTATTCTTAATATATTGAAAATTAGAATGTGGGATGTTTGTAGAGGGTGAGTAAAATTGAATGGTGTTTTCCTGTTTAGTCATTTGTTTCATTGAAAGCATTAGGTTCAAGATTTGAATTAAATGTCTAGTGAGTCTTAATTTAGACTCTTGGAACCAAGTAAATGCCTATGAAGCATTAACCAAAACAAAAAATGTACATTTAAGCTGTGATGTCAATTTTATTGAACAGATTAGAATATGTGTATTCTTTTTTTTTTTTTCCTTTTGAGAGATTTTGCTATAAGGTGCGTGCACTTGCCAGAAAGACAGAGAGAGACAAAGAGACAGAAAGTGAAAAACCATGGGAAGGGACGGCCATGCTGCAGTCCCTTCTCTTCCATTCTCCTGTCGGGATCCTGGGCATGCACACACATGTGCCCAGCGTGAGTTTAAGTCGCCGGGTTGGGACTCGAACCACAGTTGACTACATGGGAGTTCAGCGACATAGCCATTATGCTAACTGCTGGTCCCGGAGAATATGTGTATTTTATACTAGCTACTGTTTGGATACTGAATTTCATAGAAACAGCTAGATAAATTAAAATATTTTTATTAAGCAATTGAAAGCAATGTGTAAATTCTGCATAAATAAGAGGAAAAGATGAATTGGTTTTCATTTAAAATGAGTGATCAGAAACTGCAGAAATTGGGGGCAGGAGGTGATGTAGTGGTATCACAACCGGACTCCCAAGGGGAAGGTCCTGAGTTTGTATCCTTTTTTTTTTTTTGGAGAGGTTTTTGCTATAGGGCGCGTGCGCTCGCCAGACAGACAGAGAGAGACACAGAGACAGAAAGCGAGAAATCACCCCCCCGGGGGGATGGCCACGCCGCAATCCCTTCTCCATTCTCCTCTCGGGATCTTGGGCACACACGCACATGCACCTGGCATGAGTTTTAAGCCACCGGGTCTGGGACGTGAACCGCGGTGGACTCTGTGGGAGTCCAGCAACATAGCCATTACGCTTAGCCATTACGCTAACTATTTGTTCCTTTTTTTTTTTTTTTTTTTCTGGGTTTGTATTCTCAGACCTCCCTCAGTGTGTTGGGAATGTGTGCCCGCCATCTGGGCCATTTGAGGCTGGCAGTGGATCACGCCTTGAAGATCCTGTTGGGTTCCCCTCCTCTCTCTCTCCCTAAAGCATTAAATAAATAAGATTTACAAAGAAAAAAAGAAAGAAACTGCAGAAATTAAGCAGCTATAATCCAGTACTAGAATCTACGTATTAACTTAGCTCAAGAGTGGGTTAATTTAGTGAAGGAAAAATAAAAAAAAAAAAAGATCAACCAACCAAACTCGTTGGGTTGACTGAAGTATGTTTCCGTAGGTAATTTAATACACCATGAACAGACACTGGCTCATTGTAGTCATCAACTACAAGAAACTTTTTAAATTTTGGGGGGGAAATGTGGCGATTTTGATAAAACTAATTTTTTTGAAGCCATCTTAGTCCTTGCTGATCTCTTTTGTCAATTTAAAAACAGTTGTTCTGTCTAGTAAAAACAAGCAAGCCAAATTTTAAAGGCAGTGCCGCAGCAAACTCTGACTAAGATCCAAGGCCGATCAGTAAAGGGACTGTGGCAGTGTGCCAGGGGCACCTCCCGAACTCTCCCGAATTGCCGGTGCCAAGTCTCAGTGGTCCGTTTATGTCCTTGCGTTACAGGAATCGAGCCAACCCCACGTACAGTTTCTACTCATTTACCCTACGATAACATTGCACATTAATTAGGAGCATCACATTTGGAAGCTGATGAAGCTGTGTAACTTTCTTTAGTGGGAAGACACTCACAACAGGTGTACCTGTTCTCAGACACTCTGGCGTTGGTGCCTCTCCAGGACTTCCACTTTGTGCTGTCTCAGCAGATTCTCATCCAAACCCAGGTGTGGATGTCTTTGACAGGGAACACTGAACACACACACCTTCACCGAGTTCTAACACTATGCACCTCTGGAATCAACAAGTTTTTGGAAAAAGCACTAGATTGGAAATCAGAAAGCCAAGATCCATTCTGGAGTCTAAAACTAACTGGCTGTGCCAACCGTGTCTTTGTATTTTATTTGTATAACAGGAATTATTAAGAGTTACCAGGCAAGTGCCCTGGAAATTAAATAGAAAGGTAACTAAACAAATTTGGTAATGCAACATAGACATCAGATTTGTGTGTGTGTGTGCTAAACGCACTAATTTCACCTTTGTTAAAACTACGACTCAGATTATTTTTAGAAGAAGTAAATACATCTGGAGCAATTTCATTCTCATTGTAATAGCTTGTTTTTCTTTGATAGGGTCACTTGAAATCCTAACTAAATGTTAAAAGCCCTTTCTAATCGTTTATCTTGACACTTCGTATCCAAGTAACTTAGAAGCCTAAGTTAACTTTCCTGGCTCTGATCACTTATTTACTTTCTCATCTGAAAATAGATAAGTATTTTATCTGTGCTTTCAATACTAAGACTTTTTAAAAAAATGTGAAGATTATTTAAATTTTAATTCATTTATTTTTGATAATTAAATCAAGGATGTTACCATATACATCACTTTCAATAAGAGAATTTTACATTTGTGATTTTGTTAAGTGCTTCTTTCCTTCGCTCATCCCAGGAAATAACTTTCTTTTTTTTTTAAAGAGCCAATTCAATTATACGAATTTGTTACAGAGAGAATTTTACATTGGTAGAGAAAGAAGAGGGAAATTTCTTAGCCACCCAACTTAATCTAGTCTGATGAAGCAAGGAAACAATTTTTTAAACATTATAAACCCACTAGGGGAACCAGCAGATGGCATAATGGCTATGTCGCTGGACTCCCATGTAGTCGACCATGGTTCGAGTCTCAGACCCGGTGGCTTAAACTCCTGCCAGGCACATATGCGTGCATGCCAAGATCCTGAGAAGAGAACGGAGGAGAAGGGATTGCGATGTTGCCATCCCCCCTGGGGGGGGGTGATTTCTTGCTTTCTATCTCTCTGTCTTTCTGGTGAGCACACATGCCCTATAGCAAAAACCTTCCCCCCCAAAACAAAAAACAAACAAAAAAAAGAACAATGAATAAACCCTCTAGGAGCATCACAGCCTTGCCACTTTCCTGTTTTTATTTCCTCCTTCTAACATTTCTCAAGCTGTAGCCTTGCTTAAACTCACTCTTACACATTATAGTGAAAGTGCTTATAAGCTGTGAAGTAGTGTGGGCATGGGAAAGACTGGGCTTTCTAAGGCTGACCTGGGCTTAGGAATACCAGTACCATTACGTAAGAGCTGTGTGATCTCATGCAAGTTACTTAGCCTAATGGAGCATTGGGATATAATAGATAATTTTAGCTACTTCTTACATATCCCATAAGTAAGGAAACAAGAGGAGAGAATGAGTTTTATGGGAAAGTTTAATTTACTATTTTTGTCTTGATACAATCCAGTTGAGTGGTATTTCAAATGAGAAATTGTGATACAAATTGCAATCACTTTCTCAAAAGGAGGAGTTTCTGACCCAAGGCTTCATGTAAGACACCTGTGGATTAGAGGGAGCAATGACACTTGGTCCTTGTTGGGAAGCCCTGTGGGGACAGACCACAGCATAGATGGCCAGGAACACAGCTCCTGGGGGACTTTCCCAGCTCCTCCCTGTTTTCGGAAGCTGCTGTGACAAGAAGGTTTTCTGAGGGATGATGAGTGTCAGTGTTGTTTGGTATATTTATATGTTTTTGTAATTACAGGGTAGTTTTAAGCTATGATGAAAGCAAAGCATACAGCCAGAAAGATGTCATTGGCCAGTTCATTAAATACACACACATCTTGGGTGTTCACACGCTCAGTTTCAGGCAGTGTTTCAGACCATGGAATGTGTGTCTGTCATTAGCGTCAGATGATAATGAGTGGAGTGTATGTACGTGTCTCATATGCCTGGGATTATCACACAGTCCTTCTGGGGGCTGATTTCTCACTTGTAGCAGGGTGTGGTGTGTGTGATGTGTACAGGTTGCGGGGAGGTGGTAGTGACTGTATTGACCTTTGGACTATGAGTCTGAGCCATTTATAGAATCAGGGAACTGGAAAGAAGCTTGTTCACCTCAAGTGGAGCCAGCATAAGAGGACACATGTGTACAAAGTTGAGTATGTATGCATTTGCTTGTGTGGGTATGTGATGTAGGTAAGTGCAGTGGGTTTGTGGGTCCAGAATAGATCATCACCCTGAGGCCACCTCCCTGCTTCAGTTCCACCCCCATGCCCTAATAACTGAGTGCCAATGGCCACTTTTCATAACCTCTTTGTGCACAAGGTTTTACCTTGCAGAACAGGAATAGCACTGCCTTTCCGATTTCAGCGAGGAGAAAATGGTTGGTACAAGCACAGAGTTTAAGCAGCACCTGTTACATACACTTAAAAACTCAGTGGATGCTGCTTATTGCCATGGTTGGTATGATCATTGGTACTAGGTGGAGTGCCATAAGGTGTCACTATTCATCACGTAACTGTTTAGCGTATCTTGGGACTTACCTAATTCAGTATGAAATGAAAACACAAGACCTCTCATTTAAACTTCTGAAGTATTTCATGATGGCAAGAGAGCCTAACACTAAGAATAGGCCATGGGACTAGCAGATGGCATAATGGCTACATTGCTGGACTCCCACATAGTTGACCATGGTTTGAGCTCCAGACCCAATGGCTTAGTCCCAAGAGGAGAATGGAGAAGGGATTGCAGCATGGCCACCCACAGGGGACGAAGGTGGGGCATGATTTCTGACTTCCTGTCTCTCTGTCTCTCTGTGTCTTCCCATGTGCCCTATAGCAAAAAATCTCTCTCTCTAAAAAAAAAAAAAAAAGAATGGAACCTTTGTACCTACACAGGTCACATGACCATGAAGCTGTCCCTGCCCTTCCTCATGTTGACCCATGCAGGGCGTAGCCTACACTAATGTTCTGACCTCACCCAATAGTGTTACATAATCTTTTAGAGCTGCTTTTTCCTTCTTTTCTTTCCTCCTAGGTTGAAACCATGGAAGAACTTTATGTGGCAAACACCATATTTGCCCTCAACTTATTTAAGCAGTTGGCAAACACCAATTCCACCCAGAATCTCTTCTTCTCTCCGTGGAGCATCTCCTCTACCATGGCTATGGTCTACCTGGGTTCCCGAGGTAACACTGCAGACGAGATGGCCAAGGTAAGTTCATGTCAAGACTCCACGTTGGGATTGAGTGATTCCTGAACTGAATTGTAAAATCGCTCTTATTTTATGCTCAGGACATTGTAACTACAGTGAGTTCAGCAATCATCACATGCTAAGAAAATACAAGGGCTGCCTTTACACCATGGCTCTTCAGATTGAACTTCACAAAATAGCCAAACCATGGAAAGCTACAAGTATCAATAGCTGAAGCAATTGGGAATTATTAGCATGCCAGGCTGGAAATAGTTAATAAGATGACAACATCTTTCATTTTAATAATATAATGTCCATACTTTTAAAAGTGAGTGCTTTGTACCAACAGTCTTGGATTTTTTTTTTCTTTTTTTGGAGAGGTTTTTGCTATAGGGCGCATGCACTCGCCAGACAGAGAGAGACAGAGAGACAGAAAGCGAGAAATCATCCCCCAAGGGGGATGGCCATGCTGCAATCCCTTCTCCTTCATTCTCCTCTCGGGATCTTGGGCACACGCACACGCGCCCGGCGTGAGTTTAAGCCACCGGGTCCGGGACACGAACCGCGGTTGACTATGTGGGAGTCCAGCGACATAGCCATTATGCTAACTGCTGGTTCCCTGTTCCCCAATCTTATAAAAAATTTCTTTCAATAGTGTTAAGCAAGTGAAGTAGAGAGAAATACATGGAGCAGAACTATGGCTACGGTATACACCCAGAAATTCATGGGTAGTTGTAGCTTCAGAAGACCTCACAATATTATCAAACCTGTGAGGTTATGTCAACAAAATGTGATTGGCATTATGCATGGCCAGTCTTCAAAATCAAGTTAGACGGTGTGGGCAGCATTGTTAGGGACTTCAATAGCAAGGCCACTGCCTTCTTCCCTTGAGGAGTGACAAAGACTCAGGTGAGGACCCTTTCTACTGACTCTGGGGACTTGAAAATATGCTGAACTAGTTCCTTAGAACCCTACAATATTCCTGGAAGATTCATTCAGTACATTTAATATTCTTGGGGTCTATTATTCTCCTAGGTTGTGACCTCGACTTGGTCATCACATAATTAAAATTGTTTGTCATTCTCTACACATGCATTAAAACTGAATGCTTTAAGGACAAGCACAGATTGTGCTTTCAGTCACACCAAAATGCCGCTGGCTGTCTTTGGTTTCCCGTGAGACTTGTACCTGAGTGTGTGCTTGAGGGTGGAGTGGGGAGATATATATATAAACATCTTTTCCAGCTGCATGTTGACCCATTTAAGGTGGGTCTCCTTGGTTTGAAGTTTCACAGAGAAGACATTGGCCAATCTCACTGAAGGAGGGAAAAGGAAGGGCGGATCACTGAGTTTGTGACAGTTTACACATTGAGTCTTACAACAAAATTCAATTGCCCAACTCTGATACCAACAGCATTTTACAACATTCCTTCCCCTTTATTTTCTTAGCCTTGAATAAATAAAGACAGTGAAGTGCCTTGAAAACTTTAGAAAATGCTAGGGCCTTAATTTTTTAAATGTGAAGCAATCAGAATTCCTTAGATTCAAATTTGCAAAATAGTCAAACCATTTTGAGGGCAAATGTTAATAAAGTTCTACAGATCTTTAAAAGGAAAAAAACTTGGTTTTGATACCAAAGAAAAAGTAACTTACTGGTTACCCTGGAAGCAAGATTTTATTTATTTATTTATTTATTTATTTATTTATTTATTTATTTTCATTGGAAAGTGCTTGAAGCACTTATGGCTATTTAAGAATTTCCTATAGTCCTTTTGCAAGTCTGCCACATGTGTAGATTTCTAAATTCAAATGCTAACCTAATTGCTTCACAACTAAAAAGGAAAGAGAAGTTCCTCGGCTTGAAGGAAGATGCAGGAGCTTCAGGGAAAGACTTACCGCTGTTCGAGGCAGGCCTGGCATCTTACTAAGGCAGGCCTTGCATCTTACTAAGCCTGTAGATGAGGGCATTAAATCCTTTGAGCCTCAGTTTTCTGCCTATAAAATGGGAATGAAAATGCATCATCTGTAACACAGTTGGGAAGATAACCAATTGTATATGAAGGACTTAATAGCAGTAGTTGTATTACTAGCTATACTTAGTGTCTTAGGCACTTTCTAAGAACTTTATAGCTTTAATCACATAATATAAAATCCTATTACGTAGATACTATGATTACTGTACTCATTTTACTCCGCTTCAGCCCAGTCTGTGGCTGTGACTGAGCCCATGTCTGGCATGGTGATCACAAACTATGACAAGAAGAGGCCTTACAGTAGGGAACTGGCGGTAGAGGTGATACAGTTGCTGTGATAAAAAGGAATAGACAGGAGTCATAAACTCGGAGAGAACACAGGTATACACAAAATGACAGCGTGGCAGCAAGGGAGATTTTTGCCAGCTCTTATTTTTAGGATTAGGCAAGAGACCTGTTTGGGCCAAGCTGCTTCTTCAGTTGATACATACCTTGCTGTTTTCCCTGTGGCCTCAGCATAGCCCAGGGGCACCTCACATCCCCAATCCTTTCAAAGTCATTTTTCCAATAGCCCCTGATATTAAATGTTAATTAATTCAGAAGAAAAGCATAACTACTTTTTCTTAATTCCAATTTCAGGTGCTTCAGTTTAATAATGTTGGAGTCCATAAAGTCATCCCAGTGACCCCGAAGAACTTCACAGGCTGTGAATACATGCAGCAGACCCAGAAAGGTCCTTATCCTGATGCAATTTTGCAGGTATTTATTTGATTCATTTGTTCACATTTCTTTTGTATTTTATTTCTAGAATCTTCTTGCTTTAATGTCACAGTGTTAGACAGGGAACCTAGTAGAACTCTCTTACTTACAGAAAGAAAACCAAGAATAAGTGATATTATGTAAATACTATGGTCATAGTCAGACAGAAGGGCAGAGTCAGGGCAGAATACAAACTTCATGACTCACAGGCCAAGGCTATTCTCATTTCTCTCATATCCCTCCATCATGAGTTAGGAATATGTAACTAATTCTAAAACTGTGGTAATAATGTGGACAAAGATTTGGAGAGAGGGTAGAGAGTGACAATTGAAGAATAGATGAGACCAGGCCTTGGTGACTACAGAGGCAACAGACTCATGGATATCCATCTGTCCACTTACCTATCTGTCTATTTATGGGTCATCAGAAAAGTCATGAGGTATTTTTCTATGCAAAGATGCATCATGGCTTTTCAGACACCCAGTATTTACTGGTCGACCAATCCCCCATATCAGATATAATACCTTTCCCCAATATTCTATTTATTTAAATATCAACTCTTTAGTAGATTATAGGAACTGCATGCTGTCATGGTCCTATTAATAACTAACTTCAACAATCATGCTCATGAGTTAGATTCTAGGGAGATAAGTCTCAGAGCTTCCTTTCTGTGCATTCTAAGACTCTGTTTATCCACCACCCAGGGAATTATGGGCCAGAGGAGATGGGGTGGATCCCTATAATAGAGATTCTACCAGATCTTCTATAATACCTGGCAGTCTACCCAGAGTGCTCTGTACTGTGCTCCAGCTCAGGCTGCAACTATGACAGAGCCCCGTGTCTGGCATGGTGATCACAAACTTCATGCCCAAGATTGAAATTCCCATTCACGTTTGTAGATTTCTAAAACTCAGATTTTCTGCTATATTGGCTACCCCTTAAAATGAGTTCCTCAAGAATCCATATGACCTTTGTTAGATCATTACTAAGGTATTTTCCCTCAGTTTTATTGAGTTTTAATTGACGAATAAAAATTATATATATTTAAGGTACACATGTGGGGATTTAATATACATATAAGGTCATCAGGAAAATCATGACTTATTTTTCTATGTTTTCCTATGTAAAAATGCATCATGACTTTCCTGATCATCCAATCAATATATACTATGAATGATCACTGGAGCCCAGTTAATTGACCCATCCATTACCACCATTAGTTACCTTTTTTAAGTGTGTGAATGTGTGCGGGGTGAGGACACTTAAAATATACTCTTTACAAATTTCAAGTAAATAATACAGTATTATTAACTATAGTCACCATGCTATCTGTTAGATACCCAGAACATTTTTATCTTGTAATTATAATAAAAATTCCTAGAGACTTTGAAGTTTAGGAAATGGAAAAGGAATCTACCTTTCTTCTGTTGATTTACTTCCTGGTTAAACCCAATTTGCTGTGTCTACGGATATAACAAATTAAAATTTATCTTATAAGTTTTAATGCCCCACGTTTTTCTATAAATAACTTCTTCAAAGATTCCTCTGAAGAGCCAGGAAAAAGTATGCATTGTTACAGCATATTATTGTCTATTGAGAAAATATTGTCATTCTTAAGAAACATCTTGCTAAGAAGGTCTGTGCTATATACAGAAAATCTCTTTTTTCTTTGAAGGCACAAGCTGAAGATAAAATCCATTCATCCTTCCGCTCTCTCAGCTCTGCAATCAATGCTTCTGGCGGGGGTTACTTACTGGAAAGTGCCAATAAGCTGTTTGGAGAGAAGTCTGCGAGATTCAAAGAAGTAAGCAAAACCTGCAATTGGATGTCTGGGCCACAAACAGCACTAAGGCCACTGTCAGAGAAATTCTCTAAGATTCATACAAGCATAGTTGGAATTCTACACAGGCTTCCCAAGGTGGCCTCACAGAACAGCTGCCTTTTATGCTGCTCCTTTGGTTCCTCCTCTTCCTGCAACTCCTGTGTCACTTGCAGAGTAATACATCAGGATGGCCTTGGCTGCAGCTATCCCTCAAGCCACATCTCTTTCCTCGCTTTTAGTGTCAACAGTGCATAGAGGGCAGACAGAGTTAGGCCTGGAGTGGGCGGAGGCGGTCGATGGAGAACCTGTAATCTGTACGATTTCTTCTTTTTCCCATCCCCCATACCAATACTCCACCTCCGCCCATATTCCAGACTTCTCTGTCTTGATGACAAGCCCGTATTTGTAATTATACCATGACTTGCTCAGCATATATTTTATGTAACCTTTGGTATTTTCTTGCCTTAAAGGAATACATACAACTCTCTAAGAAATATTACTCTACAGAACCCCAGGCAGTGAACTTCCTAGAATGTGCAGAAGAAGCCAGAAAAAATATTAATTCTTGGGTTGAGACTCAAACCAAAGGTAAAACTAAGGAAATACTTTCTTTTCTTCTTTTCGCTTAAAAACATGATATTTTTTTAAAAGCATCTTAAAACAGCCCTCACACAATTAAAAAGTGTCCAGCTCTATTTATTTGGATTAATGTGACCTTATTCCTGTTTAGGTATGTGTTTTAAATGAGAAAATATAATTGAGGCCCATTCATTAGATACATACATTCAGTACATACATATTCTGATTTTGGATATTACCTTTGAATAGAATATGAGAGAAAGCAGAAGTTTTCAAACATAGAGGCTATGAGGATTAAGAACTGAGCATGGTGGCACATGCCTATAGTCCCCGCTACTCGGGAGGTTAAGGCAAGAGTCAAAACTTTGAGACCAGCCTGGGCAACTTAGCAAGCTGCTGTCTCAAACAAAACAAATCATTCTAGTATGAGTTCTGACACAAACCCTTGTGTCACCCACTCTATGTACACTGTAGACAAAAGCAAAGAAAGATACCTTACCTCGAACTGAGCAATTGCCGTGGGTATAAAGCATGTGGCTGATGGAGGGCCGGAAAGTATACAATTATTTCAATTCATTCTTCTCTTTTCTCATTTAAAGGCAATCCGTTGTCTGGTTCTTTTGGTCCCTGGTTCATTTCTCCTTGATTGTCTAAGCCTTCTCTTCCATTTAAACTCTTGTCCTTAATTTGTTTACAGGCTCTTGTCTCCCTTTGTGTTTTTCCCCAAGGATTCAAACTTAAGTCACTCATTGCTATTTATTGAATTCATTCAGTCAATAAATATTTATCCATCACATGCTATGTACCAGGCAGTGTTTGAGGAGATAAAGATAAAAATGGTAAACCCTGCTTTCAGTCTAGGCAGTGAATCAAATTTAGCAATTGCTATAGTGTTAGAACGTTTTTCTGTTTGGTACAGGGCACTGTGTGGGAGCACATAGAAAAGCTAGTGAAATAAAAACATTTAAATTATAATGAGGACTATGAGCCGGAGCTGGCCAGGCAAAGGGCATGGGCACAGAGTATACAGTATGTATAAGGGTCTCGAAGGGAGACAACCTGACCCTTTCAAGAAATGGAGTTGAGGGGAAAAGCAGTTGGCATAATAGCTATGTCTCTGGACTCCCATGTAGTCGACCACGGTTCAAGTGCCTGACCTGGTGGCTTAAACTCATGCTGGGCACGTGTGTATGCGTGCCCAAGATCCTGAGAGGAGAATGAATGGAGGAGAAGGGATTGTGGCGTGGCCATCTCCCCGGGGGATAATTTCTTGCTTTCTGTCTTTCTGTCTCTGTATGTCTTTCTGGTGAGTGCACGTGCCCTATAGCAAAAGAAAAAAAGAAAAAAGAAAGAAAAAGGAAAACAAAAAGAAATAGAGTTGGTTTGACTGGTTTGATTCGAGTGTAGAATGATCAGGGAAGGTAGTAAAACTGAAGAGATGAAGTAATCCCCTTATTATACCATTCCCACACTAATACATTTTAGTGACCTTATTGCTACTGTCTTTG